CAATAAACACCGATCTGCCCACCAAACTTGGGCATTGTCCTTTTGATCCCTTGTTCTTTATCAGCAAGGAAAGATGACAGCACAGCTCTGGAGTTTGTGGAGAATGGAGAATGATCTCTGAATAGAGTTGGATTTTCATTTCTGGGATAATCCAGGTACCAGAACTCCATGTGGGCAAACCCATGCGCTTCTCTAACACTAGGTGGCGCACCTCAAGTTCTGAGCACCCACCTGTGGGTGAAGCCTTTGGGGACTACCCACTCTCCACCCTGGTCTCAAGATATAATCGTCTCTTCTGTGTGTTTGAAGACAGATGGCAGCCTACGTCTGCTATTCCTAGTCTCAGCTCCGGGGATCCTGGTCTGTGTAGGAGGGTAATCACTGAAGAGAGCTGGCACTCAGGAATGTTCAGAGCACACTTCTAGCCCTGCCTAGGCTGAGCTGTGAGGTGGGAGGCTCTGCTCTTTTCACGGAGGCTTCATAGTGCATTGAAGAATAATCGACATTGACATGGTTGCTTGTGAGTGCACAGTTTGTGTTTGCTATGTTTAGATGAAGTACTTTGTCATCAGCTTTCAGGAGACAAAGGAGAACTTGGTGGACACTGATTTATTATTTTTTTCCCCTTAAAAGTGTAATAGCTTGCTGTTTATGGTTTATAAGTGAGCCTTTCGATTATAACCATCTGTGGGTTTAGAGACCCCAAGATGATAGAACCCCTCAGCAAATACATTTTGTATTGGTCCTCATAGCATTTAATTTAAACACTAGTGTTCCAGCTGGGCCTGGTGATACAGGCAGGCCTGTAATCCCAGCTACTAAGAAGACTGAGGAAGAAAGATCACAAATTCAAGGCCAGCTTGGACCTGTATACAGAGTGAGTTCAAAATCAGCCTGGGCAACTTAGTGAGCCTCTGACTCAAAATGAAGAGGGCTGGGGATGTAGCTCAGTGACAGAGGGGTTGCCTAGCAGGTGGGCAGCCCTAGGTTTAATTCTCAGGACTGCCAAAGCAACAACAAAGAGCACACTAGTTTCCAATGAATAAAATTAGGAAGAATCTGGGCCTGTGAGCTGGTTCAATGACCAAGCTTGACAACATGAGTTTGATCCTCAGAACCCACATGATGGAAGAAGAGAACCGACTCTCACAAGCTGTCCTCTGACCATCAAACTCTAAGTAAAGAAAGAAATAGAATTGTTTTTTAATTAGGAAGAATTCAAAGAAAAGATTATATTTCCTTGTTCTCTTGAAGTCAGAAACTCAGGTACCAGGGTCCTTCATGCGCAACAACAGTGCTTGGCTGGGGCTTTTTTGGGCTCTGTGCTCAGTCCACCAACTCCAGCTCTCTTTGTTATCATGCCTCCATCTGGCTTCAGCAAGCTTCTGAGTTTAACTCCCTGGTGGAAAAGATTAAGGAGTCTTAAAAGACTCACAAAACATCCACCTCATTCCAGGGCAATCTAGGAGAACTTTTGAAATTCAAATGTAAAGGGTTTTGAAGCAAGCTGCTAAGATGTAGCCTAGGCACAGGGTAGATTTGCTGACAGGGGTCTTCTGCACCGTTATCTCCTTTGATACCTGCTTTTCCCCAAGGACCCTTTCCAATTCAATTCTGTGCCTACTACTGATCTCCTGAAGGGGCCACCATCATCCCAGGCTCACACTTGCCAGTTATATAGTTTCTACGACTGGGAGGCAAAGGCATTTTTTAATTGTGCCTTTCTCTCCCTGTCCAGCAGTTAGCACTGCTCTTTGTATATTGTAGATGTATCCTAAACGCGGAATTTATAAAGAACCTTGTGCTGGGAATCTGCTATGACATATCTGGGAAGGTGATGCAAGCCACAGAGATCATAGAGGATGCCAGGTGTCCAGGTGATGGAGGAAGGGCAGGTTGTAAAGGAAAGACCTGAGAACACAAAAGGGATTACTGAGTATAGGGGGTTCAAGGTGGAGGTCTTGGCAGAGGCCCTAGAGATGTGTGGCCTTTGAGAAGAGATTGGTAGCTTGGTTGGGTCAGAGGGCTCCAAGCAAGCTGCACTGGGCCTTTAAGAAGATTCTTTGCCTTCTCTCTTTCTTCCTTTCTCCATATTGTTTTTCAGAGAATTCAGCTGAAAGCCTTTTAGACACTATCCATTCCTCACAACCTTCATATTTGCCACCCCAGACTGAGCCCTGGTCGTCTTTCCCCTGCATGGCTGAGACTCCGTTGAGCATCCTCTCTTCCACCTCCGTTCCTGCTGCTTTTTTTTTTCTCTCTCATCAGTTGGTGGTCCACACTGCTTCTCAGTGAGTACGGTCCCACCAGCTTTGGCCTCTGCAGTCTTTTACTCACATTCCTCCCTCTTTTCTTATACGCCATTTTAGAATGCTTTTAATTTCAGAACATGTTAACTGGACTAGTACTTGCTAAGTGTCCCCTAAGTTTGGGACACTCTTCCTTGGGACATCTCCAACATTTCCTCCCTCTGTCTAAATCAGATTTCTCTTCTAATTTCATTTTCTCTTTGAGGTCTTCCTTGAACATCCCCCTGGAAGAGTCCCCCTCCCCACCTCATCCCTCCACATACACACTACGTTACCACCCACTTTTCTTTGGAACACATGCCACATTGTGTTATGTATTTATCTGTTTCATTGTCTGTGTTTTTCATGAAAATGTACACTCCAAGAGAACAGAGATGTTTCTTGATAAATAGATGTTTAGGAAATAAACAAAGGAATCTATCAGGGAAGAGCTGAGAGATGCCAGAGTCACCAGTGTCTTGGGGGAGAGAAGTAACATGTCATATATGAGAGGAGATTTTCAATACGATACTTTAAATATGTGATAAATATTCAGTTTGATTCAATGGATGTATTTATAGTTCAATTACCTATGCAGATCAAATGCCAAGAATTGTTCGAGGATAAATGATAATGAAAGGGCAAACTCTGCCTTCAAGGAATTTACAGCCAAAGAGAGAGGGCAAAGGACAAGTAAGACTCACCAAATCTTCACTGTCCTGTACAATGGACATATTGAATTTTTTTCAATAAATGAATTATCAGTATATTCTCTCTCTCTTTGACCTTGTTGTGGAGGCAAAGGATAACCTTGGGTGTTGTTACTCAGGCACCATCTATTTTTATTTGTTTTGAGACAGGGTCTCACTAAGTAGCCCTGGCTGGCCTGGAACTTGCTATGTAGTCTAGGCTGGCCTCAAACTCACAGAAATCCACCTGCCTTTGCCTCTCAACTGCTGGGATTAAAGGTGTGTGCCACTGTGCCAGGCTTAGGCACCAACTAACCTTTTTTTTCTTTTAAAGATAGAGCCTCAAGTAGGTAAGGCTGGATGGCTAGGACTCTCCTGTTACTGCCTCCCCAAGCACTGGGATCCTAAGTGCATGTTCCCACACCGGGCTTTTTTTCTTTCAAGTGTGTGTTCTGGAGATCATACTCAAGTCCTCATGCTTGTACGGCAAGTACTTCACCCACTGAGCCATCTTGCCAGCCCGTCAATATTTTTTTTTTTCAGTATTTTGCTGTCATATAATCCAAGAAGATGAAAAATACTTTACAAACCCACCAACTCTTTCTGAGTTCTGAAATCTACTGTTTGTTTCTTTGGACCTCGCCACCTAGACATCTCAAACTCTAAGTCCTGTAATATTATACTCTGTATCCTGATCTCAGTTGCTGAGACTGGAAGAGTTCTTTCTGCCTCATCCTTGTGTTCAATGAGATATTCCACAGAGTCCAGGCCCTGACTCCAAGGCCTGTTCACTCCCTCTGTCCTTTTTGCTGCCTCTGTGGCCCTGGTCACCCCATGTTTTCTGGATTTTCAGCAGCCCTGCAGCATGCCCATCCCCAGTCTTCTAGAAAACTCTCCCATCCATCCTCCACACCTAGGCCAAATGTGCTTTCTAAAATGCACATCTGATGACCAGAGTTCTTTACTCAAAACCTTCAGGGGCTTCCCCTGAACCCCAAGCTCAAGGCCAACCAAGTCCTTTCACCACTCTGGCTTCCAGCATCTGTAGAGCTCCTCTTGTTGGATCTTCCTTATGGCCAGCTGTCCTGGCTATTCTTTCCCTTCTGGGCCTACAAAGGGCCTACGATGTCCTCAGTCAGTCCTCTTCCCTCTGAGTCTTCTTTTGTAATTCTAACCAGTTTTCCCCCAGGAGAAGGCTTCCCAGGACCTGCCCGGCCCAACCTAGCCCAGTGACACAGGGTTGGGAAGCTCCCTCCACTGTGATGTTGCTCTGTGTCCCCAGCTAAACTGTAAGCTCCGTAGGGTCTGCACGTTCCTACTCTGGCTGCATCTGTGACGTCTTTCTAGGGCTTCGTTTGTGGTAGTAATGAATGGAGAAGCAACTTGCTTGGAAAGGACTGTTATAAAATAATAACAGTTCATCTTTACTGAGTAGTTCTGACATAGGAGGCCTAAGTGCTTTACAAGTATGATGTGGACATCTCGCATAACCTTATTAAGTAGAGGTTATTTCCCCTTGTAATAGATAAGCAAACCGAGGCGCCCACAGGTTGAGTTGCCAGGTTATAGAAAGTCCCACAGGTAAGAAGTCGAGGCACCTGAGTGAGAACCCAGGCTGTCTTCAGGGTGCAGACTCTATGCTAGAGCAAAGCACGATGTGGGGGTTCACTATCTGATCAGATTCCAGTCTCCAGAGAAGAGCTTTGCTATTGTTTATCTGGCAGAAGACGCACCCTTGGGGCCGTGGTTTGGCTTGGGAAGGCCGTGTGCAGCTGAAATCTGCAGGGGATTAACTTTCCGGGCGGTGGGGCTCCCGCAGCAGCGCTACCCAGGTGGTCCCGAGCCAGGCCCCCGCGCTCCCCTCCGCTGGCTGCGGCCCGGGTCCTCCAGGGCGGTGGGCGGGGCGCGGTAGGGGGCGTGCCGGGGGCGTGTCCTCCGTGAGGCCACCGCCCTCGCCCTGCGCTCGCCTCGCAGGGCGCCGCGGCCGGGCCGGAGCTGGAGGGCGGGGTCTGGGGCGGGGCCGGAGCGGGGCAGCCTGAGCTGCTGCGGGAGGCGACAAGGAAGCGGCGCGTCCCGGGAGGCGTGCGGGACCGACCAGCCGACGGGCAGCGCGGAGGGGCAGGGCCCGGGGCGAGGTGAGGTTGCAGCGCGGGCCGGTGGGCTGGCGGCGGGTGGATCGGGCGCGTGGAGTCGGGCGGAGGACGCGGGGAGCGTGGCGGTGGGTGGGAGCCTGGCCCCGGGCCCGAGACCCTTCCAGTGCTCGGCTGGACACGCTCAGAGCACGCTCGGCCCGGGGCAAGTGGAGCACCAACGGGCTCCCTTCTCTCCGGGTGTCTTTTCTTTGCAACCAGCACAAAATAAACAGCCGGGAAGGTAAAACAATAGCGGGCCACCTGGGACGCGGCGCGCTCCTCTCCCACGGCGGGAGCCCTAGTCGCGGCCCCCGCGCCCCATCCTCATCCGGCCGGGCGGAGGGTGGGGCTGGCCGCCGCGCCGAGCTGGTGGGAGGCCACGGCCAACCCCAGGAGTGAAGCATTTGCTCAAAGTATTTCAGAACAATCGGGCTCCCGGCAGTCGCCCTGCTCTGGGCGGGGAAACTGAGGCGTGGGGCAGGAAAGGTAAGGACTTGTCCAAGGTCAGAATGCACAGTGTGGCTTTCCTCGCCCGGGGAGGAGACCCGGGCGGCTGGACCTGTTCACCACCTCAGCCCCTCTAGGTTTTGTGTCGGTTGTGTTCGCCTTTGATGAATGTCTGTTGTGTTTGTTTTAGAAATCTGGCTTTGTGGGACCGCTTCGGGCTGCCGAATGCCAGCTTGCCTCGGGCGTCCTGGGAGGGTCTGGGGCAGGTGACAGCTCCTTGACCTACCACCGTGGATGGAGATGGACTTTTTGATGAAGAAACCCGAACTGTCGATACCAGTCAGTATGATTTGGCTGTCCAAGGTTTTGACGAAACCCGCTCGGTTCCCTTTGGGGAATCCAAATGAGAGTCATCACGGACACCTTCACTGGGAAGCCAAGGACATTTCTGTATAATCAGCGGATGAAAGGATTTTCTCAGACTCTTTTTTCCCCCCTTTTCCTTGAGGATTAATTCACCAGAATCCACAGTTCCGGTAGAGACCGTAAGGCATACAATGTGGCAGAAGCCTAGAGCGCCTTCAGAATTGCTCTGGACCTTTTAGAGGACTCTGCACACGGGCCTCTCCTCCCCCTGCCCCCAACTCCCTCCCTCTAATCAGTCTTTGACTGGTTCTCATTTTCTGAGTTAAGTTCTATTTCCAAAAGCGTTCTCTGGAGTTAGAAGTGGTTTGGCAGAAATGAGAGATTAGGTGGTGGGGGAAGGTGTGGAGTCCTGTGTTGTCTACACCTACCTCTTCCTGCTGCTGCCGACATGAGGTGCTTTTTCCCAGTGCTGAGCTGTCTGGCTGTGCTGGGTAAGTGACTGCTTATCAGTGTTCTGGTTGTGGAAGTTTAACCTGCTTTTGGTTCTTGTAATTCTTTGTGGTTCTTTCCCCAAAACACTAGGCTTTGGGGGTGGGTGGGTGGGGGCAGCAGACGCCAAGCAGCAGGGGGTGGGAGATGCAGACACCAAGCAGCAGGGGTTGGGAGATGGATTGGATTAGTGCACCAAGTAGGTCCAATTCAGACCCAGGAAGAATGGGGGGATACCGATTGTTGTTACGGACTCCTTACTGTCCTGGTCCTTGGGGTGAAGCCCCTCATCCACATATCTATGGCTTAGAGATGGCCTGTGGGTTGTGGGCTAGCCTCCTGGTGTGGTAAACATGGATACCCCGGCGTTTTGTGTTGGTCTGCATTGGTTCTTAAGAAGTGGCAACATAATTCTCACTTTGAGAGAGGTGGTTTGATGAATGAGGGTGCTTTTCTTTTTTTTTGAAATTGTTGTTTTTGGAGGGGGAGTGGGAAGGGGTGGGATGGGATGGGTGTTGAAGGGATGCTTTGTCCTACCTAAAAGTCTGTAGGCTATATGCCTTTGAGGATATTAGTCCTGTCTCTCCTCACCAAGAAAGCCCAAGGTCTGGAAAGGAGGGGAGACTAGAGAGACTGGAGCTTCCTGATGAGGGGCATGTTAGGATTAGTTTTCATGCCCTCAGAGAAAGTCTGAACTCTCAGAGGTAGGAGAAGGAAACTCTGGTTTCAGATGTGAGCCCTTGACTCCTTTCTTAAGGATTCTGTCCCTAGTGAAGATCCCTACTTTCTGTCCAAGTTTTTCATGTCATTAAGCATCTTGACAGCTCTCAGGAAGAATCTCAGTTTAGAATAAACTCACTGGCCAGCACCTGGTGTATTCTCTCGCCTTATCTCCTCAAACCTCAAGAATGGACGCACCCTGTACTTTCTCTGTGTGACTCTGTCCTTGCATTCCCCAGAGTTGCTATCAGCTTTCGTCTCAAATCTAGGTGTTTTGCACTTGTGGAATTTATTCATGCTCTGTTTGCAGTGGAGAGCGCTTCTCTGAATTACCTTCCCCTACGTATCTACATTCTTAACTGGTGTGGAACAAGGATGGACTTTGGAGTTAGAGGACCTGAGTTCCAACCTCAGCCTAATGTTGATTGACATTGGAGTCTCAATAAAACATCCAGAGTCTGTTGTAACAATTAAGGGATTCTGAACATCTTGATTACCTTGCAGTATGTTTGAAACTCATAATCAATGTATTCATTTGGTGGCTCTTAAACATCAGCACACATTGGCATTGTTGATGGATGTTAAAAAAAATCTTGACGCTCAGGCAGCCACTTCAGATTACTGAAACCAAATTCTCCGGAGTGGGAGTGGAGCCTTTGGGCTGTCCTAGGTCCTTCCATGCACCGCTGAGTCAGGGAACCAGTGTGTGGGTTCATAAGTACAAGCCCTTCCCTGCCCAGCACATATACACACACCCCTGTCTGACTGTAGTTTAGTCAGTTTGCCCCACAGTTAGCATACAGAATCCCCAGTGTCTCCTGTATATTCAGACAGAGGCAAGAAGGCAGGTAACCTTCCATTTGTTAGTCTCTGAAGACTGTGTTTGTTGTACTGTGTTTGTCATTCACTTAGTGTCTTGATTTGAATCAGCAATTAGTCATTCATGTGGATTCAGAAGGACACAAGCAAAGGAAAGGAATCAGGAGGCTTGGGTGTGGAGTGGGGTGTGTGGTTGAGGCAGGGAAAGAGAGCTGAGGGGGATGGGTGGGGTCTAGGGGAGGCGAAGGAGCCACCAATCAGAAAACAGGGAAATATGACATTTGTGCCTTTTGTTTCTTTTGGCTGTTGAAGAAATGTGAGGCTGCCTGCTGGTCTCCCTGCTGTTTGCTCTCCCCCCACCCCCGCCCCCCTGTAGAGGGGAGCTGGGGCCCTGGCACCAGGGGAGTGCTGTCATCTTTCCTCCACCCTCACTCTCATGTGCAAAGAGAGATCCGGGAGGAAGCTGAGCGTCAAGGTGGTTTAAAGGGGGAACAGTGGCTGAAGGCCAGATGTGGATGCAAATGGACAGGCATGTGAACGTCTGCCCCATCCTGAGCCCTACTGGGGCACTTAGGTCTTCCTCTTCATCTTGCTGGTAGCATCATTAAGGAGGAGGCCTGCCTCCTACTGTCTTCACCTGGGAGAAGCTCAGGGTGTTCGGGAGGGACAAAACCCACACTCCAGTCTTTATTTCCTGCTTGCAGCCTGGTGTGGTCCGATTCATGTGTCAGCATTCTTGTTGTGTAACATGAATTAATGTGTGGCGTGGATTTAAAATAGTCGAGAATCCCAAGGCTTTGAGCCTGTGTGGGTCATACACTTCGAATAAATTATTGTTTGTAAAAGTTGCATAAGGCCAAGTGCTGTGAAAGTGAGACTGGCATAGGTACCAGCCCTCACACATGGCAATTTGGGTTAGAAAATCCTGTGACCGTATGTGCTGGAGACTACAGGGTAAATCTCTGAGAGGCCTGTGACTCTTACCACATCATTAGACCAGCACTTTCCTGTTCTCTTCTTTTGTCAGTGTCTGGGATTTGGGTCAGGTTTCTCTTTTACTGCCCATTGGGGGTTACTGAGCCTTTGTAAGTCTTTGTCCTTATCATCTTGACCCCGCCCCCTGAGTCTTGTGTCCCCAAGAACCATTGACTGCTACTGTACCCCATGCTCCAGTTCCAAAGTGATCTTAAGCCTGGGCTGCTGAGCCATAGCACAGTAGAATCCCACTGCTGAGAATGGATGGAGCCAGAGGAGCAGAAGATGAGAGCGATAGTAAAGGCAGGTCTGAGTGTGAAGAAGAGAGGGATGACTGGGGCAGTGTCTGTGCCTAGGAGCAGCCTGCATGAGTGAGTGTGACCTAGAAAGACGGCAGCACTGTGGGAGAGGAGAGTCAGTCAGGTTTGTGTCTGCTCAAAAGGAAGAGAATTATCAGCAACGATGAATGCATGCTGTAGACACAGAAGGCACATTTTGATTTTGCATGCCATGAAGAGTTATAATTTCCAGACCAGTGCTGATGTGGCAAGCGATGAAATAGCTTTCAAAGTGTTAGCACTGAAAATGTTGGAGACAGCCACCCCCAGGTCAACCCGGAGACCCTGTGGATGGTTACTGGGCATTTCCCTTTTCCCCTAAGGGGTGAGATGTTTGCAGAGTTTGGGAAGCTTCCTGTTTGAACAGGAAGGGGCTAAGTGATCACTTACTTCCTAGTTATTAGGGGAGAGTCCAGAGGGTGCTTCCAAAAGAGACTGAAAGAAACTTTGATGTACTGATAGGCACAAACTCAGAGGCAAGACTGTGGCGACCCAAAGCAGAAGAGGAGGTGGAGATAGAGACGTGAGGGGATTTTTATCATTTGAAGGAGGGTTTTAAAGCTGGGACAGGTATCATGGTTAATGGATGGACCAACACCACTGCCCTAACACTACCTGAGATAGGACATTCCTAAGGTCATCTGATGAAGGTGCTAGTGAGGAATTCTTGTTAAGAGGCTGACTAGAATGCCTTTTGTGTTAGTCTGCTTTCCATTACTGTAACAAAGTACCTGACATAATTAACTTAGAAAAGGTTTGTTTGGGATAACAGTGTTGGAGGGTCCAGTCTGCCATCAGTGTTCCTTTCAGACAGTCCATCATGGGGGAGTAGCACAAGGATGGAAAGCACCTTACTGACAGAGTGAAAGAGGAGGAGAGGAAGGTGCTGAGTTGCTCTGTACCTTCAAGGTCATGTTCTCAGTGACTTCTTACTAGGCCCCACTTCTTAAAGGTACCACCCCACCCAATACTGCCACCCTATGAACCAAACTTCTGGGTCTTTGGGGGACAGTTACGATCCAAAGAATAGCTTCTTTTGATTATAAACATCACCGAGTCACCTCCAGTCACCCTAGGCTGCGTTCTGCCCCTTTTGCTATATTGTCCACTGCAGCCAGAGTAGTATTATTGCTATAACAGTAGTAATACCAGCTCTCTGAACTCTAGTCCTTATTGTGAACCAAGCCCTATCATTCAGTCCTCAAAACAACCCTGCAAGATAGGTACCTTATATTATCATCTTTTTATAGATGGGAATGTTGAAGTTCAAGGAGATTAAGTAACTTGCCCAAGATGGATTACTGGCTGGGTTCCACAGTAAGTTGAGCCATAGGGCTCCTTCTGTCCTGTCCCCTGTGCATGACATCTACTGCTAACATCATCTCAGGGGTCCAGTATGGCCATTCCGACCCACAGCCATCAGGAGGGAAGAGAAGACTGATGAAAGATTTGTGAAGTATCTTGTATATTAAGCTACTTCCTGGAAGCTATGTACATTAATTACTTCTGCCTATATCCTCATTGGACATGGTGGTCATACTTAGCTGCATGTGAGGCTGAGAAGTATCATTATCCAAGTGTCCACATGCCTTGCTTAAAACTTGGGGTTATATTGCTTTAAGGAGAGAATAGATTTTGGTGGATAAATATGGGCCTCTGCCATAGCCACAAATTTATAAGTGATAAGAGTTGGGTTTTGAAGCCAGGATCATTGGTTCCAAATCCTGTGTTCTTTCATCTAACAAGCAGCACCTTCTGTGAGTGAGGTCCAGACTCCGGCCTCTAAGAAGCCTTACTGGGAAGACATGAGCTAGATGATCCAACAGTTGTTACCGAGGAAGCAACATAAGTTAGCATATAATTAAAAGGAATATGTGTGGTGTTCGCAGTGAATACTGTATTTATAAAGAGCTATGTGCCAGTCAGTGCTGAACACTTCCCATAGTGTGGCCGTCTGTGTAAAGTGGTTAAGGACTGTCTGTTTTCACTACACCAGCCCCAGAACTGTCTTGTACCTGGCACTAAGTAGGAGTTCAGTTAATCTTTTATGACTGAATACGTTCACAAGGCAAATACATGTTGTTTTGTTTTGTGTTGTTAGGGATGGATCTCAAGGCTTCACACCCCCTTGGTACCATTGAGCTATGTTC